AAAATTGATTACAGTGTTAATTCTGTAGGAGAAATGTACTTTTTCTCAAACATGCTTGGAAATTTGAGCATTATTTTGACAACGTTTTTCGAGATAAATCGAACTTCCTGTACCGTTCGAGCAGCGGCCGGCAATAGTTGTATGAAAATCATATTCGTCGTGTAATTTAAAAATGGAACGATCTTCGACTCCGCGACATGGCGAACAAAAAGGTAACTTATCAATTGTTTAATTTTAATTACGAACCGGCTTTCACATAAAAAAGTGTTCAGTAAAACAATAAAAAAAAACTATACGTATTAGTTGTTCGAAAACTTCGTCATTGCTCGCAAAGTTTATAATTCACAACTACCTACATAGTTTTAATTTTCGTTTTAACACAATACGATTTTTTTTTCAGCACTAGATAACTATCTAATAAGATATTTACTTATTATGCTGAAAAAAGTTGTGCTCAACTACAGCACAAATAAATAAACGAAAAATATTGTTACGTTTCTCAAAAAGAAGTGCTAAGTAGGTGAACATAACTTACTCGCCGTATAACTCTTAAAGACTAATATTTTATAAGTAATTATTTTCTATCTACGTGTTACATTCAAGTAAAGTCTATTAGTAAAAGCTCTCTGAAACGTGTATGAAGAATTCAATGGATTGTATTAGTGAATTAGATCATGGGTGCGTTTCTATCTGTTTGTTTGATTCTATTACTTAATTTTTAGTGTAACCTGTAAGCCTAACTTTAATATTCGTGTGTAACAAGTTATTTCTTTCTCTAATTAAATAACTGTTACCACACCATAGTTACCGATATGTGTATAGCTGATTGAGCAAGTGTGCTGCATAAGAAGCGCATTACGTGTATTCATATTGAATAGCGATTATCGACAGACATAGGGGGGGCAATTCTCAAATTAGGTTACCGACAACAGTCGTAACTTATGTCAGTGTTTTGTTAAAGTAACGATAAAAGTCGACGTAAGCTGATCACTTTTGAGAATTGCATCCCAGGCTGAGTGAAAGACACAGATGCTGTGAATTGTGATTGACAGCCTAGAGCCAGACAGGTTTCAACTAATTGCTAAAAAAATGAACTTGCTTACATACTTTTTAGTCAATTCGTATATTTGAGGGTTTGAGTACATAAAATCGAACCGAGATCGGATTAAAATTTAACAAATCAGATATAACTAAAATCTAGTTTATATTTAAAATATCAATGACACGGACCCGACTCTCAGCTTTTAGATTTAACGACTCTATTATCGTAAGATTAAATCGAGTGTCTTTGTTAATAATTATCTATAACTATTATGTGTATATAATATGACTAAACTAAATTATTCACATTGCATATTTGACATTTGCAACCAACTTAAAACAAACGCCACCTTACAGTTAAATACATATAGATTTACATTTGATATTAAGTCAGACTATATATCTATAGTCTCATAGTCTTTGAAAAAATAGATAGGTATCTTACAAGGAATAAAAATATACCTATCTATTTTTTCAAAGACTTTGTAATTAGTGAATTGACAGATACTTAAAGATTAAATTAAGAAGTCTACTCCTCAATAAAGTAACGTTTTTGCAGTAATTAGTTTTTAGCTTTTTCTAATTACAACCACAGACAAACGTTTATAGATTTATTATAACACAGAGTAATGACAGAAGCATTGCCTATTGATACAGGATGGAGTAACTGTGCACTCCACTTAAGCGATTTAAACACTCGTTCAAAGCTATTATTATGGTTAAACAACGGGAGTGCTAGAACACATACCGCACCTAAACAAACAGGGTGTTCATTAAACGTAATTTCTCTAAGAACGTAGCGACGAGTGGTGCGTCGCACGCGATCCCAGCCGTTATATAAAACGAGGCTAATTAAATTGCAAATTGTCTTTCAAAATTGTTTTTTATATGCAACCCGCGTTACGTGCTCGCTCCGTCGCCCTCCCCCCGCCCCTTAGTTTTACGCTTGCTGCGCGCCGCTTGCGCAGACCGCAATATACGTTTAGCTTGTCGCTACTCTGTATCTTATCGAAGTATCAATTTCTATAACTAAAATCGTAAACCACCAAAACATACGTAGCTTTAAAAAATCTCAAATTCCCAGGTTAAAGAAATAATCAGAAATCAAATTATTTTTGTTCTATCTTTTTCTGTTTAAGACATTTTTTTTTATTTAAATTATAGGCAATATATCTAGCGATACAAGAGCATAAGATTATAATATACACCGAAATAGGAGTTATGTAAAAAATTCAGACAATTCGAATATAGATACATACATACAAGAACTAGTAGGTGTATAACTATCAAGATATTTGAAACATTGAAATCTTCTCCGACACTTTTACTCGTTGTATTATTTAAATACTTTTTAAAAGTATTCCTTTTTATGGCTACATAAATAAATGATTTGCGGTTATAAAATTACGTAACACTTTATATATTTGCATAATGGCTTGGGAGTGGCGCGCTCGTTGATGTCTTTTGAAGGCACCATTATACGCAACGCGATAAGCCTTTTCAACCCTCGAATACAATCTACAACTACCTTCAATCTCTTAAAGTTAAATACTACATTCCCGTTCGTCTCTTGTTCACTTTACGTTAAAATGTACTCTCATGATACTTTATATAAAAAGTTGACAATGAGTTTTTTTAGCCTTTATGTATTTTAAATTGATCGCTCGTAACAATTTTTTTAAAGCTCCCTAGGAGTGTATAACCCTTAATTATTAATTAAATCTTGCTAGTAAAAATTCAACGTATCCTTCTAGAGGTAACGCCGGGGTTAAGCGCGTATGTGGCGCTATGGCTGGGCGTCGCGAGGTCGATGTCCTCGGTCCGGTGGGAGTTATTTTAATTTTATATGTAATAAAACGCACATTTGCATACGAGATATGCGCGTCTTCACACAACATCTCGTTATGCGTAGGAGACCGGACACGGGGACAAACAGATCTAACCGTCTAACAGTGGACAACCGCTTTCATCTAAAACGTGGAATACCATAATTGAATTACGAAATTTCTACACTTCACACTTATCGCGAGGCGTTTTAATCTATGATTAGCCCAAAAATAATTATCGCACGATTGTATCTGGACTTACGGCTGATAAAGCGTTATCTACATATTACTACTATGTATTTACCTACTAGCGGTGATATCTGTGGAAAGTAAGAAACAAATGGTTTCAGAAAAACGAGACTTGAAGAACAGCGACCCGTTTTTTTATAGTCTTTGGCTCTTATGTCCCGTTGTGGACGTACGAGGACACTACTTCAGCTACCGCCATTAATTGTGTTATTAAGTTGGGACAGAATATGAAATCGATTGTGTTAGGACTAATCGCAGAACGATGACGAACGACATTTAAACATACACCTACTTACACGCCTTTGCAATAGCTTCAAGTGTGACATTTTTAATGTAATAACTAAAATAGTAAATTGCTTTTCCTACTTAACCAAAGCATTATTGAAAAATCTATATTTTCGTTTAAAACATCTTAAACCACGCCTATATACACATATGCTTAGTATAATATAGTTCATATGTATTTATTCATCGTCGTAATAAAAGATGTTGAAACTGTAAAATAATATACCTACATGTATAATGCCCAATATATTTCCCGTTTTAGTTTCATAAATGTATTTTGTATTTAGATAATTAATGTTTAAATAATATTAGACTTCAATGCTTTCCAGCGAATATGTGCAAAGAACGACTTTGAATCCCGATTAAGAACCCGCATTTAACATTTTTGGCGTTTTATTAAATGTAGAAAACTGTTATACTAAATACTGTCTATAGTTTACGCGAGTATTACACATTTGAATAAAACACTTTAACGGTTTAAAACGCGATATATTAGTTAAACTTATTTGAAAATGATTTTTAACTTCGGCCCGACGTTTCGGATGCTTTGCAGCAGCCGTGGTCACGGGGAAACTGCTGCTGCAAAGCATCCGAAACGTCGGGCCGATAATATCGCGTTTTAAACCGTTAAAGTGCTTTATTTAAATGTAGGTATACTAGTCAATTAGTAATTTTAATAAATCTTTTAATATGTATTGAACTGTCTATAAAGAAGCAAAAACCATTTTTAACATAAATGCGATTCATGTAGTATCAGCATGTTTTAATACTTTCAGATAATTTTATCAACTATTGCCACATTAATAAAACATATTAAAAACTAGATGTAAGAAATGAATAAAGTTTTACTATTAATTATTTAGGATACATTTTATTTTCTTTCTTCATATTACATGTCAGTAACGAATTTTTCTAATAAACTTGTTCGGAATCGACTCGTCCTCGTTTAATGTAGATAAATTCGTATGTGTGTGCGCATCGCAACGTGTGGCCGGTAGCGAAACACATACACACTTTGCGATAACGAGCTATTAACGAACAACAAAACCGACGAGTGACACATCAATTACATAATAATATAATTCTATATGAATAACCGATTTCGAATCACATGTGAGATGACGTGGCGTGCGCAAGTCTTCCACTATAGGAACGACATTAAGAGCAAGATATTTAATAGTATATATTTTATTGTCTTTAAAATTCTAAAAATTAGATTCTTCAAGAAATGTTTGTCTGTCTGGCTGTCTGTCGTAATTCTACAGAGTGTTCCAAAGAGCAACGCGACCGAAAAGCACACCCAAGAAACTCAGTCCGGCTTTTTAAAACATGTTTAACATTTTTGTGAATTTATTAACCTAAGGAGAAATGTATATTACTGCTAGACATTCTTGTTATTAAAGAAATTGTTCTTTTCAAACAGTCTAAGTTTTATGATTTTTTTGAATTTATTTATTGATAAATTTGAAACTTCAACTGGCAATGTATTATACATAAGAATACGATAGTCGCGATTTCTAATTTCAATAAAGCGGTCGAATTATCATAAAAATATCTGAAACGAGTTTCTAGCGAGATAAGAAGTTCGGGGGAGACAGCTTAGTCTCCATATCTCGAATCTCGGTCGAGAGTAGAGAAAGCCGCGTGGCCGGACGACCTGTTGCGGTCCTCGACAGGTGGTGCGCCCGGCGCCGCGCCCTCAAACGCTTTCGCGGCGTCGTCGCCGTTCCGTTTCAGACCCCTGAAGGCTAAGGGGAGCCGGGAACGCGTGATGTCATCGCCTGAAATACCGCGTTCGCTCCCGGAACGACGGTCAGAATAAAACCGGCCGCCGTGCCAAACCCGCGGTCAACGACTCCCGAAATAGATGCATAACGAGCACCCACCTATAGGAAATTAAGAACCGGTCGCCTCGCTCGCGACACTCCCGACGAGAATTCCGTTCGAGCCGTTTCAGCTTCGATTTTTAATCGAATCGGACTTTCCACGACGAGGCGACGTGACGGTGATAACCCGCGATAGCGAACCCTCCAGAAACGAAAACATCGATAACCTGACCTTCGACATGGGCCGATAGCGCTATCTGTCTCTGGGCAGAGCTCGCCCGCGATAGCAAACGGGCAATTAAACAGACGCGAGGTTGGATTTGATCTGACATCGGTTCAGCTACAAAAAAGCGTCGGACCTTGACCCACTTCTTAATATTCGAAAATACGAAACTTTCCACACACGCTCTAATGAATAATGTAGCGCATCTCGAATGAGAATGCAACGCGACAGGAACGGCGGCGACACTGGACTGTGACCCGAATTAGCACACAATCGGATAATTAGCCTAATAATATTGCCTCTGTGAGGAAATTGGTGTTTCGACATTTCCAGTTTGAAGGCTCTTGCAGGGGAGGAGGGGCAGTTAATGGTCCGAAGCACTGGCGGGAGTGTTTAATTGTAATTAGTGTAATGTGCTCGAGCGCAGTCAGCGGGCGCCACTAGTGAGGGGCCTTCGCCCTCCCGCTGCCCTCCCCCGCCCCGCGCCGCACACCCCGCGTTCCACACGCACGATACCATCAACATGATTAATTAACGTATTCATGACGATTAAACATGCTTATAATTTAATAAAGTTAATTCATTCTTACGAAATACCTACGTGCTTAATATGCTTCACCTTTTATATACCTATTTTATACACGCTCATTGTAGTGATTTTCACCTTTAATTATTATCACGTTGTAATTACGGATAAACGTAGATCTTACGAGATTAAGAGAATATTGGTGATTAATATGGATCGTTCTATACCTTCTGCGTGGTGCGGTGCACGAAACCGTCACGTCGTGTGAGCGTATGGAATGGTGCACGTGGCGCGGCCACTTTCCACCGCCGGGGTCCGCTCCGCTCCGCTCGAGCATCCAGCGGGCACAGCGCGCGGTCAGCTCGACTGACCGGTTTCACTAGGAACTTCGCCGTCTCGTCGAACATGGAGGGCGGACGACATCTTTACCTGACAGTATTAGAAATAAACGACTCTAATGCTGCCCGGTAAGATGCGAACCGCGCCTCCGTGGGCAGATGTCGACTCGAAGGGAAGCGATGCCACGGAGCGCGGAGACGTCACGAACGCGCGACGGCGGGCCACGGACTGGCGGCTGGCGAGAAGCGCTCGCGGCGGCGGCCTAGGGCTCACTCGGAGGCGGCGCTCTTCCGCGCCCGCCCCACGCCCTGCGCCCCTTCGCCCGCCGCCCGCGACCCACTGACCATGTCTTCACCGTCGAAGGCCGCCGTCGTACCCTTAGCGTATTATATTGTACGCTAAACAATCATGCTGAACATAGCACGTGCATCGGCACACTACATTTCTTAGTTAGTTTACCGCCAATACGAGTGGTTAAAACCATCACTTAGTGTTCATTTCATTCTATACTTTTTTAAGTCATGACTTTCTGAAACATTTGGAATTGTAACATAATTTATGCCAATCATTATTTCTTCGTTTACTTACTTACCCCGCTGGCGCAGCGATCCAAAGTGAGTCTTGGCCTCCGAAACTAAAAAGCTTCGTTTAAGTCATTATTTCTTTGCGTTTCATCCCAAATAGGTTAACTTGCGACGAGACGTAGAAAAGTCCAAAGACACCACAAACTTAAGGGGAAATCTCATGATTAAATATCACCTCTGGCATAAGTCACACCATGCTTGGTTATTATGTACCAGTTACATAGGAAATAACTTCAAAAAATAGTACCTTAATATAAAAATTATAATTTTAACTTCAAAACCTTACTCGAAAAACAAGTGTTAGAAAACCATAGACCAAGTAAGTAGTTATAAATGAACAGACTGATTAAGGGAACGAAGAAACAGATTTTTTTTATTTATTTACTTATTATGTAATCTCTATTTTATGCAAAATGATATAATTTTCAACACTTTTAGTATCGCTAAAGAAAAGTAAAAATAATATTATATTGTTAAACGGTAACATAAAGTGTCCTTTATTAAAAATTGTTAATTGTTTTACTAAAACTTGTTTTTTATTTACGATATTGTATTTAAATAACTTACGTAAATAAAACAATTGACAGCTGTTGTTTAAAATGGATGTTAATGTATAGGTAACAATGTTTACATGTAACGGTGCTTAGGTCGGTTTTTTTAGTTTTAAAACTAGAGATAAGAATAGTAATTATTATATTTAACATATCTATAGTATTCAAGGGGTAAGATGTAATAAGCACATAATGGTTTATAATTTACAGCAACTAGAAGTTGAAGGTAATTTCTGACGCAAAATAACATTTTTGAGTGTTACTATGTACATGGTTTAATTGTATATATTTAGTTTTATAAAACAGCTTTCTATAGTCTTCGTTAAATGTCAAGATACTGTCAGATGTCAATGTGTAACTGTCAATTCAAGACGCCTAAAGCAAATTCCTTAAAAAAGTATTATTATTTACCAAGCTTTAAAATATTTGTTATCCGTTACGCCGTTCATGTTTAACATTTATAGAGTTAGGGTAATTTAAGGACATAATATTGCTGAGTTTCGGGTAAGAAAAGTGAGATAGAGCGGAAAGGAGAAGTCAGTTTGTGATGCTTCAAGATTTGAATTGTGTGTGTGATTCTAATGTCCATTTTCGTCTTCAGGTGTATGGAGTATTGCGGTGTTTGGCGGTGAATGGTGATGCATCGTTGTGATGTCTAACGTGGAGAACGTATGTCCGCAAGTGCTGCGCGGAGTGGCGCGTGAGGTGCGCCGCTTGGCGGCAAACCCTCCTGCTGGCATAAAGCTAGTGCCGCAGGACGACCTTACACATGTTGAAGCCCTCATTGACGGCCCAGGTAGCTGACCGTCTTTATATTTTTCTCAAGAGTATTAAAGCATAAGCCATTTATTACCGTTTCCAACCGTTCAAAAAAGATTAAGGAATATCAAACATACCAAATTTATAATCATTATCAATTCTGGATTGTCTGCAAGTATATACTTTTGCCTAGGTTGTAACTTGTGATTTAGTGCTGTTCTAGCAGGTCACCATTTCCGAGTTGACATACTGTTTATAACTAGAAGTTGCTGCCTACTTCTCATATGATTTTTACACTTACCGCACCTGAAACTTTATTTCTGGATGATTTAGTAAATAAGCAATAGTTATGTATTATGTTAAGATATTTAAAGAGCTCAGATAGTTTTCTTATGGTATATTTCTGCAGTTTTCTGAATATCTGAGATAAATGACGTCGAGTTTTAAAAGATACTGATGTGTATGATAATATTCAATTTTAACCCAAATAGATGTTTGTCGTTCCTCATTTGTTTTAATCAGATAAAAATAATCTTTTAATACTTATAATGTTCTGTTAGCGTTAAATCAACTACTCAATTATTTCTTTTAATAAACCCTTAAGGTTAATGCAAGGATGTAATTGTAACTTTTAATGTTGGCATTTTTAGAGATAAATAGCTGTTGCATTAATACCAGTTTTACTTGCAATAAATATATATTGTGTTTAGTATAATGACCTAAAATTACTATTCTTATGTTAAAATGTCTATGTTCCTTCTTGACCTTGATCCGCATAGCATATTATACTAAAAGAAGTCAGAGGACAAGTTGCCTGTATGTATATCTATTTCCCAATACACTAAATATAAGGGTCCTTATCTATCCTTGGTCTTATCAGTCTATAATATATACATTAGAAGTGGGATAACTAAATTATAACTTACATAATTATGTAGCTTTAAGTCTTTCTTTTAATAACTTGAATTAGTTGTGAATAAATAACTGCTTACAATTTTTTTGAATAAATTATAGTACTAAGTTTTATGTATTGCTTTCAGCCGAGACGCCGTACGTAGGCGGTGTGTTCCGCGTACGCCTGGAGCTGGGCAGCGACTTCCCCGCGGCGCCGCCCCGCGCCCGCTTCCTCACTCGCGTCTTCCACCCCAATGTGTCCGGCAGTGGGGAGGTGTGTGTTAGTACTCTCAAGCGCGAGTGGCGTGAATGGAAACCAGAACTGGGACTCGAGCACGCGCTGCTCGCCATTAAATGCCTCCTTATAGCGCCTAACCCTGACTCGGCTCTCAACGCCGATGCAGCGGCGCTGCTTCAAAATCACTACGACGACTACTTTGCGCGCGCCAAGCTCTACACTGAGATCCACGCGCGTCCAGACCGGCCCGATACTGAGCCCCGTGCAGGCCCTGCTGAGGCTCAAAGCGACGCGCCACGTCCGAAGCGAGAGAAACGCCCCGCGCCGTCCGCCGCCAAGGATAAGCGGCGCATTCTTAAAAGATTATGAACTAGAAAGATTGATTATATTATTAGGGTTGTAAAGAGATGTTTCATTCAGCTTTATTTTTCGTCTTAAATTAATAAAAAATTATTACACTACCGGGGCTTTTGTTTTGCTTACATTTATAACTGTTATGAGTTATTACATTACTATAGATTGCATATGCTTAAACCATTTTTCCAATTTTAATAGTACCAATACGTTGTTTTAATTTTGGACTAAAATCTCAAACAAACATGTCTAGATGTTTACGCGTTACACATTTTACCTTTTACGTCAGTGAGACGGCTTGTCCCGTCTTGTTGACAATTTTAAAAATCGTAGAACCTATCCGCTGTACACGATTATATTGGCGCAATAAATTGATCACATTAAATGATTCGTATAATTATTGACATAAAACAATAAGTGAATTAAATAATCCGTTTGAAGTTTTTTTATACATCTTATGGAGTTTTACAGCACACGGGAAGGGTACAGACAGTTATTTTGTAGACACCTCGGCTAAATTCCCCCCGTTTTTTGCATAGAGTTAACTAATACCTACTAGTGAAATAATTAAAATGGTTATCAAACATTTATGTTATTGTTATAATGTATATGTTTCTACAGTGCATTCAATGTAGTTAATGATTGTAGCAAAAAGGATTTATTCATCAGAAAATCAACAAGATATAAAATAAACAAAAAAACGCTTACTCTAAGGGACTTAAGTTATTATATACACAGGTTTATTCAATGGTCGAGTTGCTTGTCGTGGAGGGGGAGAGTTTCAGCTGTGACTGCAGCGGCGGGGGTGCGCTGCGCGGCGGAGGGACGCACTAGATGGCGATGCACCAATGTGGCTATGGCTGCACCTCCCAAAGGACCAACCCAGTACACCTGAAGACAACAATATCCTTATTTAATAGCATTGTATTTGTTAAAAGTAATAATTCGAGCTCAACGTAGGAGTGAACGATATGAATCGATATTTAGTAAAATATCGATATATGTACGCGATATATAGATGCAACCCGATATTATCGAATCATCTAGTATCGGTACGTACAATCGATATATTAATTTATATATTATTAAAGCGATATATTAAGTAGTTAAACTTATTTGAAAATGATTTTTAACTTCGTGTCTCCCCGTGACCACGCCTGCTGAAAAGCATCCGAAACGTCGGGCCGAAGTTAAAAATCATTTTCAAATAAGTTTAACTAATAAATCGCGTTTTAAACCGTTAAAGTGTTTTATTTAAATGTGTACTTACTACTCGCGTAAACTATAGACAGTATTTAGTTTATTACTTCCTATTTTGAATAAAAAAATAATAAAGCTTATTCCGAAAATATATATAGCTTCGTTTACTGTTTCTTAGTGTTCCCTAAATACCGTATACCTATCCAAATACAATACTGACGTGTATAGAATAGCAAGAAAGTCTAAAGTACTCACCCAGTGGTCGGCGGTGAAGCCTTGAAGCAGAGCGGGCGCGAAGCTACGCGCGGGATTCAAACTGGCTCCAGTTAACGGGCCCTGAAAACATTAATGATATTTCTCTTAGTAATATAATTTAATTGTCAAAAAAAGTGAAAACTCTGTGGCACGTGTGTACTTGTTTCACTGATCGATTTTCGTTGATCAGACTTCTGTGGCCTGCCCTACCGAAACTATCTTTTGTTTCCCCTGGATCCGAACCCAGTACTCGATTAACGCTGGGCAACACGTTTAATCATTTACCTAGAGGCAGTCAATTGAATGACTACTTAAAGTATACACAGCTACTAACCCCAGCATAAATAAGACCGGCGACGGTGAGACCAAACTTGATTGAAGCCGTCGGGTCAACGCGACCAGAATCCTCCGCGTGCCAGATGCCGCATGCGAGAAGAGCCAGAGCGCCCGTCAGCAGAGCTTCGACAATGGCCGCCGCCACAGGCCCTACGGTCCCCGGCGCGGTACCCCCAGTGGGGAAGGATTGGGGCGAGATTGCCATAAGTGCGGCGAAACCCAGCGTGGCGCCGAGGGTCTGCGCTAAAGCGTAGGCCCCTGCTGCAATCCACTCGATGCGTCCATCTAGCGCTGCTGCGAGCGTGACTGCCGGGTTCATATGCGCCCCGGAGGCAGCACCGAAAGCTTCGATGTTCGCCATCACGACAAAACCGAAAGCTAGCGCCGGGTGGGAAAGGGGTGCGTTGGCTGGAAGCATCGTTGCCACGCCCAAGGCAATCAGCAGAGCCGTAGCGACCGTCTCGCTCAACAGCGCCCTCCACCAGCGAAAGATCCACGCGCCCACCCCCGACCTGCTTCTCCTCTCTGAAAGGAACGGTCCGACACATAAATCTTTTGTTTTATATTCTTATTTCTAAAAACTATGGCTTAGTTTTTTAATTTTCACTAAATACACGGCTGCGAAATATTAGGTTTTAATTATAGAAATAGACTTTTTATTTTTTGTGTATTTTTTTATTATCATTCCATAAAAAACAAGCATATATTTTTTTTTTGTCAAAGTACTCAACTTTAATTCAACTCAACACTCGACTGAATACCAATTCTCACGTCATTTACGAATAATTGTTTTACAAGTAACACATATGAATGTTATTTGTGACCTTCTTTGACTTCATATAAGTTTGACCATTTAAACAAAAAGTACGAATGCGACATCCATAGATAGCGGTCTGGGTTGACAATTATCTACCGAAAAATAAAGGATAGAATCAATCGCTCCAGAGACGATTGTGTTTTGTTGTAACGGCTATTGAGCGAATATATTATTCAACTGGATTAGCATAAACTCGATGAATATTGACTTGCGACCCACGCACAATTCCGCTACCACAACACAAGTCCGCCGCGATGACATTTGATTTATAAATAATGAATAATAATAATAATTCTTGAATGAGCCGGAAAAACGGGTTTCAAACATCAGAGGGTCACGGCTTCAAACGTCGCGTCGAATAATCTATGAGACTATTCCACGCGTTCGTCTCCTAATAGGCGAATGAATACCCGAATCAGTGGCGAAATATCTGGCTTCTCAGTAGCACGTGGGATTTTATTAATAGAAAAAAGGTCAAGAGTCAAAACTAGATATAAGCTTTAAGCTTAAGCGCGCGTCTCCTAGACTATATACTGACCGTCGGTCGGCATCGTTTCTTGTTCGTGTCGGTTTCGCGCTGCCGCGGTAGCTGGTCGCCGGAGTGCGGTAACGTAAGCGTGGAGGTCGACGGCACACTGCGCGTGCGTTCGCCGCGAGTGTGACAGCACCCCTTCTCCCCGTCTCCCGCACCGAAGCAGCCCCCTACTCTTGACCCGCAGCAGCCCTTGCAGCGGCCACCTCTCACCGACAAAGGCCTTGTCGTCCGATTCACTTCCGACTGCATGTTATGCCTTTGTTTGGACACCTGTCTCTTTGTTGGCCCTTCTACGCGCGCTACATATTAGCCAAAGGCTATACCTACTTGTATCGTTATGTACGTCGAATATTATTCTAAATATCGGTTATCGCATGCTAAGGTCGCAGGTCGGAGGTCGGCGATATCGTAATCTCTACATCCAATATAACACTGATAAAGACGTAATTTTATCCTTTTATTGACGTACAGATCGCTCGAATGGTAGGCTAATGAGAAAATTACCATAGTCTCAACGAAAGAATTCTCCTTGAATTTCAAGCTTATTAGTTTGGATCATTTAATATATAGAAAATTAAAATTACGATAAAAACGTAACGGGAGCCCTTGAAGAAAAGAAATGACGTGTAGTTGAACGGGTGACAAACAAATTCGTAGTCGGTAGTAAGTTAGCAAGCCTCGCCGGTGTCATATTTTTTTAGCTACACAAAAGGTTTAAATCTCCAATAATAGCTAACATTCAGTTTCAGTAATTCAAATCGAACAAAATACAGACAAGAGTAGGCGACGGCTAATTAATCATGTATGCAAATAACAATTCGGTTGGGCGAGAGGACAATAGACGCCGAATACGTTATATATTCATGAGAAAACCACAGAATGCATATAAAAAAGGAAAATTCGATAACAATTTTGGCGCCAATACATTGACAAGTATTGATGGCCAGTATTACCCGTGCGACTAAGATTTAGACACACAAATAAAATAAATAATTTACATGCCATTTCTGTTTTTTCGAATTTAAAAAAATCTGTATTTTAGTTGTTTTTAAATAGTCAAATATAATTATCTGTAAAAGAAATTATTTTTATTGTTATTGGTCTGCTTTAGTTGTGATTTTTAAAAATAATATATTAAGAAAATAACATGCTGCTAAAAGTCATTTTTCTAATCCTAGTACACAATATATGTGTACCAATGAGTCAGAGAAATATACATAAGGGATTGTAAGTGTCAGACTGTCACTCGAGAACTGTGAGCTAACATTACTATCAGCTCAAACTGAGCTGGTACAATCACAATATTGATACTTTCATAGGTATTTCTTGATAAGGTTCCAAGCTTTACTTGCATATTAATTAAGACTAAGAGTAAAGGTACATGAAAGATTTGTACTTGAAAAACGGGCGTGCAGCACGCAATTGAAAATAAAAAAGACGTAAATTATTTTTACTCTTTATGTATTGATATTGTTTTCTGGGCCACTAAGTTATGAAGGTCAAATCCTTCGCTGCTAGTATTGTAGACTTAACTTGAATCATAGTATTATTTGAATGACGGCAACCGCTAATTAAAAATGTAAAAAGTATTTTAGATTTAATAGCCTGGCTAGCGCAGGTCTAGAACCTGAAGAAAATAAATTCCATTCATGTGAATTGCCATGTTAAATTTATGATTATATATTTTAACTAGCTGTGAGAGCGAATTCGTCCGCGTAGAACTGTTATTTTGGGCATCAAAATGCGTTTTGACATGTTAAAAAAGTTGCAAACTCTTTAGTCCTAGCTTTGTGTTTTCTCATTTCGCAACAGAAACTTTCCCCGTTTCTTCAACATTTTTCGCTGTACCTTCGGTCCTATAAAAAAATATGCGACCAGCATTGTGATGTTTTAGCCTTAAAGCCTTCCTCGATAAATGCTCTGCTCAATTTTCAATTCGAACCAGAAGTTCTTGAGATTAGACAAACAAACTCTTTAGCTTTATATATTAGTATAGATATTTGAAAACTTTCTTAATTTGTTTAGTCTAATTTCGAATCGAATTGCATCCCCTAAAGATGTTTAAAATAGAAGTAGAAGAATAGATTGAGTTGAGATATGAAACGGTAAAACCGCGGAGCACCTTGAGTCAATAGTGATACCTCTTTCGTCGTTGTAATTCCGAATTGTGCGATGCAGGAAACGTGTTAATGAGCGTGGCCGGTAATTAATCACCGTTCTAGCAATTCGAGTCGCGAACAAAAATAGATACTCTCTCTTCGCGATCTACTCTTGAGGCTCGACTTTGTGCCGACTCATGTCCTTTTTGAACTAACAAAAACATATCTAAACTTGTTTAAATAAAACACTTATAACGGTTTAAAACGCGAAATGTTCATGATTTAACTATGGCCCGACGTTTGGGGTGCTTTGCAGCCGTGGACACGGGGTGTTGAAATAAATTGTAAATAAGTTCATTTAACACATTTCGCGTTTAAACAGTTAAAAGTGTTTTGTTTAAATGTGTACTACTCGCCTAAACTACAGACAGTATCTGTACTAGTATCGTACTGTCATGCTATACTGGAATGAAAAAAAAAAAAAAAAAAAAATTATGTACATTTTGTTGTATTATTAGGATCTCCATTGTACACAAATAGCAAGAGCTACTAAATCGCTTGACATGTACTTTTTAAGCCTTTACAATGATAAACAGTCCACAGACTAAATAAAGTTTTGCACTCGAAAAACCTGATTTTTTTTACTACACTTTAAGGACACACACACACGTGCATAATTATGTATTAGATTATATATTACTTTTAAACAAAACTATAATATTTAAAAAGAATAGTGAATTTATTCATATTTATTTATCTTAAATGACGTCGACGTCCGACTTAATTTGAATAAAAGTAATACAATTGAACTGATACGACGTGGGGCAAAAAATATTAATTACAGTCGTCGACGCGATCTAATATAATGTCGTTAAAGCACTTTTTCATTACAAAGGATGTTAAAGAAAAACATGGAGGAAGCAATCAACATTTAATTACGTCCTCTGTGTCATGTGTTGGGTGGCTTTATCGATTTTGGTTTCATTTCAAGGTTCGTATTTGTTCAATTACAAACTTAATAATATTAAATGCACTGGCTATTCCGGTAAGTATAAAGTTAAGTACTGTCTGTGGTCTACGCGAGTAGTATAGATTAAAATAAAAATGTCTTGTCTGTCCTCTATCGGACGCCACCATTTTAATTTTTGCGCGCCTTTTTTGACGTTATTAGCTGTGTTATAAATTTGTAGGCAATTACTTTTCGAATAAATGAACGCTGCTCAATAATGTTTTTAATGAAGATGTGAATAATTCGCTTAAAATGTCTTAATAAAAATCTAACACAATCATTGACATCAAAAAGGGCTCATTAAAACAAAATGTTGACGTTCGAATGATAGCAAGCAGGGTAGGGTGCAAACAAGCGTGAAGTTTACTCTATGCGAGGTGAAATTTAAGAGACACTTTTTCAGTTGATGTCAAACATATTAGAGGCAAACGTGCCCGGTTTTGAAGTTTCTCAAAAAAAAAACGTTTTCAAACCAATATTTGTTGTATGTTTTAAATATGTTAGTAAACAGTATAAGGTACAATCATTTAAAAATAAATATTTGAATGACACAAAAAACATTAGTTAATGTACATACGTACATCTATCATAGATAAAACAAAAAAGTACATCCGCCCGTATCTCAATTTATCTAGATAAACAATTAATAAGGATTAGTAAATAAATGAGATCATAAGCATTACTAATAACATAAGGTTCAGAATACAGATAAGGTCATTTGAATTTATTAATTCTTACATTCATTTACAATTCACACGGCTAGTGTACAATGGAACGTCGCAGCAAACGACTGGAGTTTCTCATGTGATAAATAAAAGAAGAAGATAACTAAAGAGGCTTATTTTTATAAAAAAATAAACTATCAGACATGCGCATTTAATCAATTAATTTCAAACAATCAGTTCATAAAATTAAGTTATCCCTCCCATTAATACTTATTAATTTTCCATTCATTGTATTAGCATATAAATGTAAAATAAAATTGATCTAACATATCGTATAAAAATTGAAGGTAGCCAGCACATTAGTTTAGTATTTTAATACTTATAATGGTATTTTCCTCGTTTATTTTTTTATAATAGTTCTATAATATAGAGTAACTATAATGGATTGAATGAATTCTATAAGTTAACTCGTACAAACAGAACAAGACGGCGTGGTGACCTGACTTATGCAGCATATTACATTTCACATATGAATGACATTGACAGTTGACCGTGCATATTTGTAAATTGTCAGTATAAGTGTCACTTGTCTATAAATCAGCGTCCGCATATAGCGAGGCTAAAGGAGGGGCGGGCAGAGGCGTAGGAGATCGCCAGGCGAACGCGTACAACGCTACACCGACGCAAGAGCCGACCAGCGGACCCACCCAATACACCTAACAAATTCATACAGATAAAATTACCACAAGACAAGAAATACATAGAACCTATTTGAAAATAATAACGAAGATATTAATGTAAAAAATATGAATTATAACCTGATAAATTATTCTAGATGTGTCTCAATATCTTCAGATTATATTTTGCCTATAGGAATAAATTAAGAGAGATACCGGTGGGGTTGTTAGTATTCGCATATGACTGCATTCGATTATTTCCTTGTTATTGTTACATTAAACCCAATAATGACTAGTATTCATGGTTTTTATATTTGAAATATTATACGTTACAAATTAATCCTTTCTTCCCAATCTTGGTGTATTGTATTTTTCTATTGATGTTCCAATGCAACTTTACAAATAAATTAATTAAATGGGACAGCTTGCCAATAAACTGCGATGTTTTTGTAGCCTTTTTCGTAGCCTAAGGATCCCACCGCAAGATCTTTCAGAGATCTGTTTTTTATTGTTAAAGTCGGAACTAGCAATTTTTGACATTCAATATTAGTATAAGGTCATAACAGTAAAATTAGTAAACTAATCATTTGTACCGTCATCTTAAAATATGTTGTTAATAGTTTACGCGTTAGTATTATATTAGATTTAAGACTCACCCAATGTTGGTCCCAGTATCCAGCGAATAAGGCGGGACCGAAACTCCGGACGGGGTTCATACTGGCGCCGGTGAGATCACCCTGAAACCGGATAAATGCGGTCGTCAATTCAAAAATCCTTACAGCGCATGACTAATTAATTAATTAATGTAACTTTCTATATTTAAAATAATAATACTATACTTAAGAGATTGGGATCTGTTAATCGTAACAAGGGAAAAAGAAAACATGTTATCATTACTACTATTTGAAGAAACGTCTTCTTGAGAAGTAACATTAAAAAATCTCTCTCATCTTGAAGAGCGATGAAGCTCAACCAATTCCAATAGCTCCCTAATATAATTAACAATAGACGTACTTAATTTGTGCCCCAAAGAGGGCTAAAGGAATAAGTTAATTAAAAATCTATTATCAACGTAAGCATAGACTCACGGCGACGAGAGTCAGAGAGCTAACGACGAACCCGATACGAAGCGGCCACGAATCCTTGTAGCTGTTGTTGCGAGAGTCCCACGAACTCAGGTTTGCCAGCACAAGGCAAATCGTGCATAGCGCCTCCACAGCCACAGCTTGACTCCCGACCAGGTGAGATGCTGGACGCGTGACGCAAGCCCCTGCGTCTGAACCGCAAAGGGGAGAAAGTGCCGCCGCCCCAATTACCCCCCCGGCTAACTGGGCGCCCCACTCGATAGCCGCTCTACTCACACTCATATGGCCGCTTATAGCCGCAGCCAGAGTGACCGACGGGTTCATATGCGCCCCCGAGATGTGGTCCACGCACTTGAACATGTACAATTATAAGAATATTCTCGTTCACAACATTTTATTTATTCTCTTACAAAGGTTGCGCAAGTACTCGCAAAGGAAAATCCAATGTAATATTAACTATAATTGAGATACAACAAACACTAATAATTAACAATAAAAAATCATCAGTATATTTATTAAAAAATATTCGTTACGTATTTGTGTAAAAAAAAAAATCTTCGATGCGTAAGTTATAGTTGTTTATATGTATATGGCGTATTTCATATCCAACTTCAAGCAACTTTAATTAATAATAATTTTGGTAGTAATGGAAAAAGTCGAAGCCGAATATATCTATAAAAATTAACAGAATTAATTTCAATTCTTAAAAATCTTAAAAGTATTTTAGTAAAAATATTATTGAACATACCTACTATATTTTTTTTTATTCGGCTATCAACGTCAGAACCAGTGGCGTAACTATACCGTGCGAGGCCCGTGGCAAATTCATCGAATGGCCCTCCCACTTCCCCAATATATAAAGAAGCTGAACCAACAATTGATATTTCCTCTGACCGGGGGCCCCTTCGGGCTGGGGGCCCGTGGCATTTTGCCGACTTGCCACCCTATAGATTCGCCACTGGTCAGAACATAGGCTATGTCTAATCTTTAAATATAGAACACCGTATACTTTCTTGCTACAACCACGACTCATTGTTTAATTTACTTTCTTAAATATTGTATATTTATTTTGCTTTATTATTATTAAACAGAAATTATATTTTATGCGCATAAGCAATAACGAAATAAGTGTTACAAGTTTGTGTAAATAAAGAAAAAAAAAATCGATATCACAATTCTACCAAAAACTTTAAGAAAACTCCATTAAAAAATTCCTTTTTACGCATTTTTCGTTAACGAAGACAGTCGGCAGTTTATGTTTACGTCTAGTCCGAAAAGTTGTTGACAAATAATATATTACCGGGGTGTGATAGGAGTTTTCTTACGAAATAAATTTAATGAATATTAGTTTAAATTATCTATAATCTTAAACTCGCATTTTTCATGAGAAAAAGGACAATTGACATTTCAAGAAAGGTATTATAAGCGTTCAGAATAAAAGTCTACGGATCTACGGATACGTCCACAGAAATATATATCTTACACTGCTGTTCTTAATATTTCTATCTCGTTAATAAATTAATTTAACAACAGACCTGGACTAGTAGCGCGACGACAAGCCCCGAAGCCAGGGCGCGCTGAAGCGGGGGCGCGGGGTCAGCATTCGCCGAAGCGCAGCAAGTTGGCAGGCAGCTCAGCAGCACTAGCAGCGCGCTCGACACCAACTCGGCACTCGCCACCCCCCACACCGTAGAACTCCCATAATCGCCCTTGTCTATAGCGCCACGGAGTTTCCTCGCGACTTCGTAATCCAATTATATTATTGTCATTGTCTCAAAGATAACGATGTTTGACTTTCTAAACGTGTTCTAATATGCGCATGCGACGTATTATCTGAGCATACTAGTTATGTAACACGGTTATTTTTTAATTTTTATTTACAGCTCACGAAGTTTATGTCCCTAACAATGCTAAATATACAGATGCAACAATCGGTGTAATTACATACATAATTGCATCAACAATGTACATACAAACTAACCAAATAGCTCTCGGATACTAAAAAAAGACGATTAAAATATTAAACCAAGCGAATTTATTTCGAAATTTGACACGTTGTGTACATCACTTATGTTTTGGAGATATGAATGCCCCATAACTTATATTTATTAATGAAAATAAATTTAGGCTATCCGGTAATAGCCATTAGAAGCACATTAGATTTCTTTGACGAGTAACACAAGTAAAGACGACTAAGAAAAGAACTCACATCGCTTCGGGGCCCGTTCGTCGGACGACATGCTAAGCGGCGAGAGGCTCGATGGAAAGTGACGCGCGTCGATGCCTTGACGAGTTATCTCGAATCGCTATCGAAGGAGCCTGTTTGCGCGTCGCATTAGCGCTCGAGCGACGCTATTTTGTCACCTCCCGTTAAGGCAGTGGAAATAAAGAGCCAGGCTCAGTTATAAGTGATTTATTGTCTAAAAAAAGTTAGAGGCGCGTGAGGGCCGCGTCGAGGTCTCTGCGCCTTGCCGCCAAACGGTGGTGCAGGTAGCGCGCCACACCTTCTGCGCACCAGCCCTGCGCGTAGAACGGCGAACGGCGCTCCTCCTCGGGGTTCCCGTCTGAGTGTCCACTCATCGTCTTAAGATCTCGCGCCTGGCTGAGCAGCCACTTGTGCGTGAAGCGCTGCGGGTCCTTCCCGAAGCTGAGGAAGAACTCGCGGTTGGTCTTCAGCTGGTTGATAGTGTCAACTGTCTCGTGAATCTTGGCGTCGAGGCCCTGGATCTCGTGCTGGTTTGCCGTGCTGAGCAGGAAGCTGTTCATCTGCGTCTTGAGTGTGTCGTCGACTTCCACGTCGATGTCGTAGCAGGCCGTCTGCTTGGCGTCGTGTGGTGGCTCCACCGAGATGAGGTGATTGATGACGATAGGGTCCGGTGCGTGCAGCAGCGGGGCGAGGCGCGCAGGGATCTCGGCGAGCTTAAGGCGCGCGCAGCCAAAGATCTGTTCGAGGTACTTGTCACAGAGCACGTACTCGCGTTCGTGCGGATCCTGCAGTCGGTGCGTGTTCACATATTGCCATAGCGCGTTGACGATGACGGGGCGCGCTTGCGTGTGAACGCCGAGAAGCCGCGCGAGACGCCCGTCCAGCTTGAACTGCAGCGGTTGGTAGTCGAGCAAAAGCAGGATGGTGCAACGCACGTTCTTGTACCCAGGCCGTTTAACCTGGAATCCGTCTGTCTCCTGTGTGCTAAGTGTGCGATGCCACTCCACGAGATGGTTGTCAGGCCCGTATAACTCTTTGTCCAATTCGATCACCAGTGACTTGAAGAACGACGAGAACTTGCGTTTCACCTGCGCCGGAGAACTTGAATCAGTAAGCTATCGTCGAATCGAAGTGTTGTATTCATTTTCATAAACCTCTCCCACCCAATAATAATTCACTGATTGGTTAGGAATACAATAAAATAGCATATCCATATGTAGTAATAATATAAATTATTTCACATGACAGCTATTATATAATTAAGATTATAAAAAAGAAATCAAATCTTTGCATCACCACATGTGATAATACTACACACATACTATGGATGTTTGATGTAATGTGATAAAAGCTTTGTAAACGCATTTCTAAATATTTAAAATTTTATATTTCATCAATGTTTATTCAGAATACCAAAATGATAGATGATGTGTGTACATACAAGGTCCAAATTTTATGCTTTCATATAGATATAATGTTTATTCGTTTTTTGTAATAATATTGGTAGGATTAACCTTGTTGGGGTCGTTCTTTGAATCATCCAGAAGTCTGCCCTCGACACGAAGCTCCCACGATGCTACTGCATTGTCGCCTTGCCCTGTAATCGAAAAAATCGTTAACAATCTATATCATACAAGGTTTTTGTTTATGAAGAGCTACATTCACCTGGATAAAAAGTATTGGATATGAAGATGCGCAGCTTTCTTTTCTGCTTCATGGGCCTCTTAAGCGCCTCCTGGATGTCGAGTCTCTTACGCATGATAGTCGCGTCCAATTTGCGTTCGAATGTGAGCAGATCCATGTAGGCCTGGGACTCGGGAACGAGGTCGCGAACCTTCTGCGGCAAAATCTTGTCGGCGAGTCGCTTCTTGCGCTTTCCCCCATAACCTTCACTGAAACCGACAGGATTGAGGTTCAGTAAAATCTCTTTATTTGTATTTATTTATTATTGCTTTATTATTACACACCCTTTACACAATTACATATACACACCACACAAAATACATATTAATGAGGAAAATTTAATTGTTGTTTCTTATTCCTCAATGTTTATTAAATATTACAAAAATAAGTATGGCTTGAACTCCCCTATACACTTAATTTCTAGACTTTTTAATAGTTTGTTCAAGACCCATAATATTGACATTTCTATTCATAATAATAACACTTCTATTGATAATTTCAAGACATGTATTTCAATATCTCAATAAGCAAATTTGTCTTATAGATTATATTATTATGTAGAATTAACTAAGAATAACTGTGTTTTTGTGTATTCTTAGTGTGGTATTATGCCTTTATCTCCCTATAACCGTATCTATAGTTACACTGTGTATGCTTACATAACAATATGGTACATAAGAATTATTTTTACTATAATTAGCTTGAGTAGTTTTAAGCATATTTGTGTGCCTATCTAGTAAGCCTTATTAAATAACATAAATATTTTACCCGGCATAGTGCTGTGGACGCTGTTGAGGTGGTAAAGGCGGACGAGCGTCGGCCGGACGCTTAGTAGGTGCTGGCGGTGGTGCGGGACGGGAGGCAGAGGCGTAGGGGGGGAGCAGAAGGCGCTGCTGGTGACGCACCCCCAGGTACGTATCCGCCCCCCCCGGAGGATTGCGGCCGACTCCAGCGGGTGGCGGAACAGCGGCGCCAGCCCCTCCAGGTGGTGGTGTGAAACCGCTTCGTTGCTGCAATGTTACAGTTATCTTTCCAATATTTTTTCATACACATCTTTATATATATAAATCTCCTGTCACGATGTTTGTCCGCTATGTACTCCTAAACTACTGAACCAATTTTAAATTAAATTGGCACACCGTGAGCAGTCTGGTCCTACTTGAGACATGGGATAGTTTAGATCTTTAATTATAGTCGCAATTTTATTTTATTGCAAATTATTTGTCTGTACATAATTGACAGTTACAATGGATTGAGTAATTAATCAATAGATGGCACTGCTATGGTAAAACCACAAACATGTCATATAAGCTACAATTCAATAGATGAAATTATTTATATGCCAAAACAATGTTTGCCGGATCAGCTAGTACTTTATATATTTACATACTTTCATACATACATATAATAATAGGGCGTTTTAAAATTTTAACTTTTATGTAATAATTTTTATCAGAAAAAAGTTCTTGACAATAATTAAAGTAAGTTTCATACTTAGCCACAGCTGTTACTCACACAATTTTTTAAATGCTGTTTAAGTGCGTTTAATTTAAATTACTTGTTCAAATATTGTTAACAAAAAAGGAAGAAATATTAAATATGTATATAGAGCACCAATTTTTTCTGTGTTAGTATGTAGGTATATCTAATTTAACATATTCTGTGTGTCGCTTCTTATACAGGCCAGTTGTTGATCAAACTTCTGTTCCCTGATTGTCCAAAACAATCTATTGTTGCCCTGGGATACATACAAACCATGCATTTTAAAATTTGGCTACAGAGGCTGTTAATAAATTGCTATAAGTCTTTCAAATTAAAAGTTTAAATATCCTGATCAATTTGACAACGTCTAAAGTATAATGTAACATTTCAAATAGAGTATCTCAATTAGAACACATATGTATGTAAGGGATGAACTACATAGTCTAAGATTACATCTTCAATTATTTTTATATGACTCACAACTTGTTGATAGCATTTTGAGCGAGAAAACATTATTTTTCTGTTGTTACAATAAATACTGAAATAGACAATATTAAGATATTTTAGAGCTTCCGATACTATAAAAATCAAGAACAACAAACACTTGTTTGCTTAAACACAAACTTGGCAGGTTTAGAACACAAGAAATGTTGTTATTAATACATTATTTTTCTCCCATGAATATTAAATATACCTATAAAAATAGTTTAATTTGATTACCCACTATAAGACACAGTAGAACACATTTTTCTTGCATGCTTTATTTACAGGATAACTGAAGCTTGCGTGTGAAGATGCTCAAGTCGCTGTTAAGTTGGCTACGGGCCCTTGTTATAGGTATAAAGTCGGGTACAGGCAAGCACTTGACTTTAGCCTTGCGCAACAAAAACTACCTTTTAACCTATCCTAGGATCAAAAGGAGGAATTTAAGTGTGCTTGCACAAGTCTTGGCTATGTGGTAAACCACTAAGCCACGGAAGCACTCGTGGAGTATCAATTTAAAAGTATGGAGCAATATGTTATGGTCAATCATTAAACTTCATTTTGGATATCAACAAAATTGCAAAATATGCAGAAATTTAGTTTTAAACATTGTTGTTGGCGGTCATTGGGAATTTACTTTTAGGATTTGATTTATCAGTTGACATATTGATTGTCATTTACAATGTTGTAGTTGTAATTAGGTATGTTATGTTTTTTTTTTATTTCATATATCCGTTTTGTACAACATCTTCCAGCTTGATTTAAAGAAAAACTGTAACTTACTCAATAAGATTGTCTAATTCAAAATATATATCCGTGTACCAAATGCAGTTTTATTTATAAATAATACAATGAACCGTATTAGCAATAGTGTACACATTAACTCACTGGAAAGTTGGGTTGTGCGTAGGGCCTGGGCGGCATCGGTGAGGGCTGCGGTTGCGCTGGGCCCGGATAGCGTTGCTGGGCCATTGGACTCGACGGAGGTGCCGAGCTAGGCCCACCGGGCGGAAATCTCTGAGCCATTTCGATCAGCAATTAAGCATAGAGGTGAGATGCTTCTCAATATAAGTTTAACGGCTTATGACTGTCGATTCATTGACAATATTCTTATTCTATTATAAAAAAGTTTAATAATTATTGTTATGCAGTTTCTAAGCAATGTAAACTTATACTAAATAATACTCTTAATAGGTGGTTACACTAAGAATAACACTTTATTTCGCCATTTATGATTTACGTTTACACCACAGATAATCTTGAAGTATACATATTACAGATTATACTAATGTCATAGATATAGATAAAATAGACTATATCAGTCAATATTTTATCTATGTCTATGTCAGAATTGTCTTTTACATAATATTATCCCTTCTTCCTCCGTTGCCAGGCCATACATTATTACAAAAAATCCTTTTTTCATATTCATTCTGTAACTTTTCTATTTGAAATGAATTCTACCAAAATTATTTTTAGGAAAAACAATTATTGCTACAAGAAGGAAGAGGTATTTAACTAAAAAGAAGAAGAAAATAGTATTGTTATCACATAATATCCGTAAAGTCTCGAAGCTATCCCATCTATTATTTAAAAAATCCCCTATGATTTTTGGTTTTCTAATTCTCTTCAGAGTCTAATGCAATATCGTTCTAATAGGCAACTTGACTCGCCGCTAGAAGCGCTTAATTAATTCTTGCATTACTAAAATTAAATTGTGATCTGTCATTGTTTGTTCACCATTTAAGCCAATTGTTAAAAAAGTGAGTTATTTTGTGTTGTATAAAATACCATTTATAAAATATAATTCTCATTTTATGGCAACTGGCCAAAATGGTAAAAAAAACTTTTTATATGCATACATAGCCTAGTAAGAATAACGCTGCTGTTGATGTAATAAGTGATTCAAATCTTAGAAAACAAAATACAACTTTTCCATTGTGGGGATAAAACTCACTGATAATATTTTTACTTTTAAATAAAAAGTGTATTTTTTAAGTCCTCTCTTTAAAGTTCATAATTTATTGATCTAAATTAATCTAATTTTCAATGGGCAAATTAATAAAAAAAATAATAATTTTACTCCGGGACTTAATCGTAACTGAATTCTTAGTCTTTACTTCATGTTAAATTCAGACGAAGACAGGGTATGATTGAGCTACAATAATATTGTTCATTGCCCTCAAATTCCTGACGCAACCGAGTGCAATGATTCAGACGTATTGTACACATGTTGTTACTTACAGTAGGATTTGATTTCTCCGCGATGTTCCCCAGACGTGATGGTTTCGACTTACGCTGGTGTCCGGTGGTTCTACTTTCACACGGACTGTCGTTCACCACTTGAGCTTCCAAACACTTAGCCACATGGCAGAGTGCTGATGCTGTTCTGCTACTCGTTATGGTTATTGTTAATTTTGACATTGATACTCTATGAAAATGAGTTGCTTACGTAAAATTTGCTCCGAAAGAAGAAGCTTGCGAATGCGTTTTTCCGGAAAATTGATACGTTTATGAGTTTAAATAAAACACCTTAAAGATTTGAAACGCGATTTTATTAAACTTGTTTGAAAATTATTTTAACTACACGTGACCACGGCTGCAGCAAAGTATCCGCAACGTCAGGCCTTAGTTAAAAATAGTTTTAACTAATATATATCGCGTTTTAAACCGTTAAAGTGTTTTATTTAAATGTGTACTACTATCGTAAACTATAGACACGTTTATAAGTGTTTATAATAATAATACGTTTAGATTCCCAATAATTACAACTTATAAAAATTCAATTACCTACCGAGGCTTAATTTTTTTCCCATCTTGTTAACTTTTAACAGCCACTGGGCATACAGACCACAACTCTGTATATTAGGCACAGTCAATTTACCAAATATCAAAGAATTTATTAAACTATGTAATGAAATTATGAATTATATAAAAACAGAATATACCGTAAAAGTTGTGGAGTGATATAATTAATATATCATGTGTTCGTGGCCTGCAAAAAGTCTACGGGTAGAATTTCGGACGGCGTAGTTTGTGTAACGTGAGCTCGGCGCACGCGCCGACCGCTCGCTTCATTTGCACTCAATCTTAATATCCCCCAACCGATGCTCGATTACAGATTCATAACAGCGTCCCTTTTTTCTTATCTTTATTTGTATTTTTTCTATTTCACGTTAATTGCTGACATTTTTTGTCAACGCCTAGTAGTTAGGTATTAATTATATTATGCTACATTATAAGTATTGCGCTTAGCGCAGTAGGGTAAACTCGAAACCAGTGGAAAAACTAGAAATCGTTTTGGGTAGGCAGGGCATAGAAGTTTTGACTGAAAACTAAAAACAGTCGGCAAAACAGATAGACTTAGGTAAGCCTGCCTTACGTGGGGGATAAAGGGATTTTTGACACTAAAATTCTGAACTACTAACTGTCCAAACCCTGTCGCAAGATAAAAGCTTACTAAAATCTTTTTTGCCAAGTAGAGATGCTGGTGAAAAGTTACAAACGAAACCATAGATAAGGCGAAACCATAGATAACCAGTCGAGAGATAAATCGCCAATAAAATTCAAAGATAATAATTATAAATTGATACTTATAAGTCTCATTAGCATCAGTTGCGAAAATATGAGTGATAAGAGGAACAAGGGAGGCTTTGTGGGGGCGAGACCCGGCCGGATGTCAGCCTGGGGTCGCGGTATCATCGAGGCCACGGTATCCTTTCCAAGAACATCTCAGAAAGACCTACCGTTTGGTCCAAGTTTTGTTTGATAACCTTATATTTTACATTGACTGAAGATGAACTGTCAGTGTCCTATTAAGTCTTAGTAACTATTTCATTATAATATACAATACATACATACAAAAATCATGTATCAGAAGATAGTAATTTTGAACTGTATTTAAAAGATTAAGAATAGATACAATGCAAACTTAAAGTGGATATTAACAGTTAAATAACAAAATTCATAAGTCCAACCCTTAACACGACACTCTTGAAATACTTACCACTATTTACCAAAGTAACAATAAACACTTTTGAGATATTAATTAAACACGAGAAATTGGGAGAAAATTTCGAAAAATGTAATAAGTAAATACATTCTTCTTTTATAAAGTAAACAACTAAATATAATAAATGTAATTGATTTTATTACAATAACTTAATAACACAGTACGTACATATTTTTTATATTATCTGATTCTATACAAGGACAAGAGGGACAAAAATGTATGCTTACATGGATTTTGAAGTACCAACAACATCTATAGAATACCTCTTGATCATAATTGTGTAAACTTTGAAATGAAAAGCTCTATTTGTATTATGTTACCGAATGATCTGCAGTGTTCGTAAATTGGACACGAAAACATAATTTTATAACAGTTATTCAGGTAATATAAACGTTATCTCTCGTAATTAAACTCTTTCTTATCATACTTAAGTAATTATTACTTTGGAAATTCATAGTTTACTTACTCCGCTGGCGACACAACGAGCGAATGTAAAATCTATACATAACCCTAGATTAATATTATTAAAAATATTGCTTATTCTAAATATATACATATAAAACGATCGTTATGTTTACTTTTGTCATGTACGCATTGTAAATATCATCTGAAATTTGAAGGTTTTATTATTTATTTACTTAATTATTTGTGATAAACTAAGTATAGTTCATCATATGAAACGGCAAATACAGCACGATTTAACGGTTTTAAACTCGAAACATTTTTGTTAATTTCGTAGGTAGATATATTTCGAATTTTAAGCTGTGAAAGGTATTTATGTATAGGTTACTACAGGGGTAAACTGCAGTCAGTTTCTTCAAATGGAAATCTTTTTATAACTTATAGACTTAAACACTTATTTGCTTATGATAACTTTATGCACGTGCGTTATAACGTAAAAGATCAAAACCCACATGGCGATATGATATAAAAAACAAGACAGCCATATGTCACGACGTGACCTATTTTTGATACGATAATAAATCTTTAAATCACTTCTACGACTTAGGAACCGGCAGTTCCAGTCAAATTATTAGGGATGACCTGGATATTGGTGCCAATCAGGGCAAGGCGGGTGTAAATGTGGTGGAACTGGTGTGTACAGTGGAGGGACGTGGTGCGCTAGACTGTGCGGGTAACGTGGTTGCATTTCATGGTATTCGGGGACAGGAACCGGTTTTAAGTACTGGTCGAGTTCAGCCCCGTCGGGTGGTCCATCCGCTAATAAGGCCCCGTCCACCTCGATCCTGGAGAAATCTATCTGCGAGCGGTCGGGAGACGGCTCTCGTTTGAACCGGGCAGTAGACGCTGGCGGTGGTTTCCGTCTGCGCGGTTGGTATTTATACTCAGGGTAATCTTTCTTGTGTTTGTTCCTCAGTTTCTCGGCTTCCTTTATGAAGGGCATCTTTTCCACTTCGCTGAGGCTTCTGCAAGAAAAACGATGCGATAATGTCAATGGTTTTAAGTATCCACCAAAATAAATTACTATCAAAACATTAATGCGTTAATAGAAATGCAGTTGATTCAAATTTATTTTTGAAAACCTAGTTTTTATCTTTATATTTAAACTGTTACCAACGAAGGCAGCCGCGTCCCGTCGTTCCTTAAAGATAGACAGACATATAGTGTCGCGAACCTTTTTTAGATCATCTAAAGAGGGATCATTCTTTTGTAAATATTTTTTAGGTATCTTGAACCGTTTTCGCAGCCTACGCATCGGAAACGCACAGAAATTAAGAATTTCCCCCCTTTTATCCACATTTCTCCGCTCCTATTAGTCACAGCGCGATGTTTTATAGCCTATAACTTAATAATCTCCATCTTCCTTGATAAATACTCTAACCAACAGAAAGATAATTATTACATTCGAAACAGTACCTAATTCCTGAGATAGCGCGTTCAAACAAACATACAAACTCTTTAGCCTTATATGTATATTAGTATAGAAGAAGAATTTTTATTGACTTGAGTTCGTGCCTTTTCTTGATTTGTGTACATACATTTGTTTTTCTTATACGTCGTGGTACTCTATAGTACCTATATAATGTTTTTTTTGAGAGAAATAAAACTTGTGTGTGTAGATGTAGTGTGTTGTTGTGTGTGCAGTTAGTATAGATAGTGATGGAACTCTAATTCTAATTCTGAAACTATTTCACAATTACGACGGCAGATTGAAAATCCGAGTAGCTTAGATTATTGTAGTGCTGAACACATCCATATTATCGATAGAAAAGAATGATTAAGTGGTAAGGAGTGGATCAGTGGCTCAAGATAACGGGTGAACCGTTCCAGATGGCATCGGCGCCGGTCAATCGAGTGTTTCATGACCTCAGTGTAAATACTTGTTGACTTACAAATAACTATAAACAGTTGGGCACAAGGTTTTTTTCATCAATTTTGCTTTCAGCCTACAAATTGTGGTTGCATATAATAAATGGATCTGATGGAATGGATGGATGGAAAGGTGCTGAAATAAAACCGCTGTTAAGACCTAAGAAACATCTCAGTTTAATAGAAAATTATAAACATCACATTTTCTAAAATTCTACTTCTAATTAACTTGTGTTGTACAAACTTTAAAAGACGAACACGTAAGTATTAATAATTAGTAATAATGGATTGAATGAAATCCACGATGAGTAGCTAATTTGGTTAGAGTGGTAACACGGTACGATGTGGATGTAAATACTTATTACAACTTATTAAGTTATACAATGGCATCGTGTGTAAGAACATATGAACAATATTAAATACTGTCTATAGTTTACGCGAGTAGTAGACATTTAAATAAAACGCTTTAACGGTTTAAATCGCGATATATTGGTTAAACTTATTTGAAAATGATTTTTAACTTTGGCCCGACATTTCGGATGCTTTGCAGCAGCCGTGGTCACGGGAGACTGTATTAAAGCAACAATATTAAAGTTTTCAAAAAATGTGATATTTTAAGAGGCTTCTACACAACAAACCGTGAGGCTTCCATATTGAAAAGCTCAAAACCAAACTAGATCGACAACTCATCCTAGTTTGACGTTTGATGGCTGGTTCTTTCTCCCTCCATTAATTAAATCCTTTGTTTGTTTGTCTAATAACGACGCATGGTTGAAGTTATTGTTCTCAGTATAATGTAATATGTATCCACCATCTTTATTCTATTTAATTTCCTTTAATTTGTTTTTTTTCTTTAATGCACTTGAGAGATAATATGATTTTAAAATATTGCAAAAAAATTAAAGCACTTACCCCACAACCTATAGCGTTGAGTATTGCTCTAAAAGGAATTAACACAATAATAGAAATAGTAAGTGACACAGAAGCCCGATTGGTAGAGCATCTAGTTATGCTTACTTAATATCGATAGCAAGTTCTTATAGTCAAAATTTCCATTCGATTTTGACAGTTCGAAAAGTTTGATGCATCGGCGGATCAATGAGAAAGCAATCAACCTCTTTTCGTCTCTCCCTTTGAGTCGTGAGTCGATCCGCGAAGATAGACGAGACATGTCAAAATAATAGCTCTAATTCGTGGGTGGTCGTATCCAAAGATGCGAAAGGTTCAATATTCTAAAACATCTATCTTTAAAGACAATTATATTATACATTTTGACAATTATATTTTCTTTAATACATTAAGCTAATAACTCCTTTTAAACGTTAAAATAATCATTCTTTAGTACCTAACTTACGCACAGTGTTTAATAATAAAGAACAAAGAATAACAACATATTATATCCCAAAAAACTTTAAATGTTGCAAGCAAGTACTAGATAAATAGATGCTTGTTAAGCATAGAATTATTTATATATTTAAAAAATATTGCGTCCAGTTGATCGTACGTTTGACTCCTGAACCTTTCAGGTTTTCAGGTCAAACGGTTTAATAATTGCAGAGTTTTTAGTAACTCTGGCGAACTCGTTAGTGTAAAGTCAGTAATGTACTTCTAATATTTAAAAAAAAAAAACACTTTAACGGTTTAAAACGCGATATTTTAAACTTATTGAAAATGATTTTAACTTGGGCCCGACGTTTCGGATGCTTTGCAGCAGTCGTGGTCACGGGGAGTCTCCCCGTGCAGTTTAACCAATATATCGCGTTTCAAACCGTTAAAGTGTTTTATTTAAATGTGTACTACTCGCGTAAACTATAGACAGTGTTTACTTGTAATAGTCAGCGAATCGTGGGTTCCATCCACCACCAGGTTCCCGCATGTTTCTAATCAATTTATAATTTCTTGTACAAGTTGGACTTCGTTTAAAAAACTGGATATTAAACGTGTGGTAGGATTATCGTAAAACCATCCGGGTCACCACCATCCACAGATAAGCCTTAAAGTTCAATCACGTTGTTGTTTAATCTGTGGATTTCCGAATATGTAAAGCCAAAATAGGTCAACAGCATATCGTGTTGAGACGTTTCTTCTATAAAGTGAACTCTAAACTTATCTGTCCCCGTCAATTATAAAAAACTATGTAAATAAGGGTTTTATGGTTAAATTTAATTACACTACTGATTATTTTAACCATTGCTACTATATCTTCTGCTTGACATTGAATAACAATATCTATTTGCTTAAAATAATACTCCTATAACAATTGGGACGATACCGAATATTCGGGACGTTACAAGATGTTATCTGGATATTAGCGGTGATAACATTTTAACGAGTAAACAATCGATGCACGTTTCACGGTTGGACGCCGATTTCGGAGCACGCCCTTTCTTTTCTATTAAATTAAGCTTGAAGAAGTATTTCAATGTAAAATAAAATATAGACGGAAATCGAACCTACATTAAAAGGAACTCTACCATTGTCGTCGCGCATAGCTTTACGTAAACGCAACCTTTTTAATTTTGAATAAAGAAGAACAACATTTTTAAATAACCAATATTACCTTTTATAGAGCAAGTCAATCCATAGATACAGACATACAAGGACAAAGAAAAATTGATTATATATGGACCAAATGATCTCAATATTAAAAATAACGTCTATGGGATGGTTTTTATGGCATTATTATTTAAATCGAAGATTCTAATCCTTTTGTGTATTTCCGTAATGTTTTAATCGTACCATATACTCTTTAAGAAGCTTTTGCAAATGTGACAGGTTAAATATTGTTACAAAATTATGTTCTGGATGAAACTTGAGATATTTTAATTTTAAGTACACATATTCACGTTATATGTATTAGCAATCAGTAATAGAATTTGAAACTAAAATCTCAATGCGCTACGTATCTAACAAACATGAGTATGAAGTAATGAATTGCTTTCAATTCGAAAGTCATGTCATTTTAAAGTTCATTACTGAAATAGGTTTTCGTTTTTTGAGACAAAAACGTATGGGAAAACAAAACGCTAATTTTAATTTTTCGGCTTTTCGTTCGTGGGTGGATTTTTTTAATATAAATAATGATTTGTAATACTAACTTCCACATTGATCCAAGTGATTTGCTGAGCTCAGCGTTGTGCAGCGAGGGCCGTTGTTCCGACAGGCGCTTGCGCATAGCTTGTGCAAACACCATGAACGCGTTCATCGGTCGCTTGACGTGCGGCTGCCTCTTGTATCCTCCGCCTCTGCAAGAAATTTTTATAGTGAGCCTCCGTTCCTTTGGTTTCACGAAGATTATTTTATCTACTATTAATTTAGTTATTTGGTATATGTTACCAAATAACTAAATAAAACTTGAAAACTTTAATAAATGATTTGAGCAGCAGCACGGAACGCTGTGGATAATGTCTTTTATTTATATAAATAAAACACTATAAATGCAGTCGTGCTCACGGTAGGAAAACAAGGTTAAATAAAAAAAAACAAATATATGTCCCGTTTCAAGCAGTTAAAAGTGTTTTATTTAAATGGGTGCTACACGCGTAAATTACAAACGATACTTCTTTTTTACATAGATGTAATGTTTCTTCTCCCACTGTACCACTACAACCCAAAAATAAGCAAAAAAGTGGCTATAAAACATCACGCTGCGATGAATAAGAATGACGAAGTAGTGAGAAATGTGGAGAAAACGGGGAAATTATTCTTTGTAGGTTTCCGTTACGTACCCTGCGAAAATGGTTCAAGAAACCAAGGAATATGTATGAAAGAACAATTCCTCTTTAAATGATCTAAAAGAATTTCCTTGATAGTATATCGGGTAACTAAATAAGTAAAGCTAATTTTGAAACTATTCTACGCGAACGAAGCCGCTGGCGCAGTTCGTAAACACGCTTGTTTAAAGTGTTCATTACAAACACGTGCCCCAAAAAACAAGTTCTTACACTTGAACTTTGCGTTTCAATTTGGAGTCGAAGGCGGCAAGTCGTAATTGTCAAACTAACAGAAACCATCAGTGCGGACCATAAACAAAATATATTACGAGCACCCTTTTTATAGGAGGTACCTCATTGACGCTCAGAACCATGGTAAGAGCACCGAGTCCCGTCGGCTCACGTCATTTTACGCTCGTAAAAATGAGAGAATTTTATTACTTTTTTCTAGTGGCGTTCGGGTTTCCTCGCGGTCCCGTCTTCGACGATAAATTATAAAATTTCAAACGCTGACACGTCACTAAATGTCGATCGATTCCTAACGGATCGACGGAACCAATAATATTAAAAATAATTACCGTTTCGTCGAATCAGCGGCTTCCTTGTTTATAGGAATGATTTTACTCAGAAATATTGCAGCATGTTCATTGATCATTATTGATTAATTTTACGTATTGAAGTTTACGCGTGTACTAGATATTACATGAAACACTCTAAACTGTTTAAAACACGAAGTATATTAATTTATTTTTAACTATTTCGCACAGGAAAATAATGGAATGATATAATGTCTCAATATTGTCACGAGTTGAAGACATTTAAACGGTTTAAAACCCGAAATATAATTGTTACCTTATTTTTAGCTATAGCTTTTCAGCAGCCTTAAATGCAATAGTAAACTAGTTCGCGTTAAACCGTTGTTTTATTTAAATGTTATAATATCTATCAGTGAAATAGTCATATAATTAAGATGTTCAAGGACATCGGCTAGACGTGCCGCCACTCGACATCTGGCCAAACAAACACAAGTAATTAATTAACAATTCAACATAACTCGTAGGAAGTAGACCTGTTCTTTCCTGAAAACTCTAATTCACACTAATAAACACTAGTCAAGGATGTCCAATTTTTTTTCCGGTCAAACATTTGCTTAAATTATCTATACTAATATTATAAAGCGAAAGTAACTCTCTGTCTGTCTATCCGACTTTAACTCCGAAACTACTGAACTGATTTAAATGAAATTTGGTACACAGATATTTTAGAGCCTGAAAAAGGACAACTTTTTAATGCCATAAAAGGGTTGATAGAGGTTGAAAAAGGGGATGAAAGTTTGTATGGAAATTCGTGGTTTTTGAAGCTTAAACAATGAAATTCTTTGGCTTTTTGGGAATAGGAGTAGGTGGGGAGTGGGAGTTCGAGTAGGAGTGATGATGAGGTGAGAGTGTTGCGGCAAAGTAGCACTTACATAAATTAATAAACAGCCTAAGTAATTAAAAATTCTACCCCAAGTCACTATTCCACGCGGATGAAGTCGCGGGCACAGCCAGTTATCTATACAATGAATTATTAAAACAAATATCTATACACATTTTCGAATGTTTATATGAGACATGGGTCTAGTACATTATTCTGTTCGTTTTACTGATTGGATTCGATTAACATACAAGTAAATTAAAAATCTAAAATAAGTTTTGAACCGGCATCGTGCTGTTGGCTAACCAATTGAGTAAAAAGTCAAATTGGTTTTGATTTATACAGTGTCATCATGTGAAATATAATATATGTAAAAATATTAAAGTTTTTAAACATACCAGTAGGTATTGTGAATTGCTCCTTAGGTTAAATTCACAACAATATATTAGTTTATAAGATATTTAAAAAAGCCGGGCTGAGTTTCTTGGGTGTTCTTCTCACTTATGTTGCTCTTTTGAACACTCTGTAGAATCAGGCCGAACAGACAGACAAACAAAAAAATGTTGACCAATCTAAATAATTTTTAAAATTTTAAAGAGAATAAAGTTTATTTTATTTTGTTTTCCCGAGATTCGAATCCAGTATTTCTCCTGCTTAACATAATGCTAGATAACGCGTTTAACAATTGAGCTACAGAGCTATATTAAAGCTAGTTTTAAATACATGCTCTTTAAACGTTAATAACTACAAATGCCCTAAACCCATTACTGCATGTCTGTACAAAAAGTTTTATAGCTTGAAATAATGATTTACGGTTTACGATTTCACGGTCGTACACTCGGCGGTGTAACATATTTACTAGATTTTAGTGCCAACGTCAAATAAAAAATAAGTCAAAAAGCAAATCGGACGAGTATTTTATTATTACTATAAAGCACCTACCGTACCGCCTCGTAGGTCTAGTGGCTAGTACACTATAAGTCATGAGGTCCCGGATTCGAATTATGGGATGAGTGAACGGTGTCTTAGCGGTGTTACTGCATCTATACTAATATTAAGCTGAAGAGTTTCTTTGTTTGTTTGAACACGCTATCGAGGAAAAAACGGAGAAAATTATTCATCTTTGAGGGCTTCTGTTGCGTTCGCTGCGTAAACGGTTCAAGAAACGAAAAAATATGAATAAAATAATGATAAATGTTCTTTTAAAAAATCCGCGGAAATATATGTCTATCTTCTAAGATTAACGCGCACGACAGTACGGACGTCGCAGATAACAACTATGATTTTTAAAGTTGAAGAGGTTGTTTGATAATGCCAAAAGTTCTACGCGGACGAAATCGCACAACAAAGCTATGATATTTCATATCGAGGTTCTACCAACAATAAGCGTATATGCGGAATACAAAATTTGATACGATTAAAAAAAACAGTTGGTCGACACAACTTTTGGCGTACTTGCGCATGCGCTGCAACATTCGTTTAAGACTATCAACCTATGATGACACGGGCGGGACTCGTAACCACGACCGCAGCGTTCAGTGCTGTTGCTCTAATCAACATACGATACGGTAGTTTTCAATTAATATAGTAGCAACATACATAAAACATTATGAAATTTAAGTCGTAATTGACTTAGTTGAGCGTGTCAAGTTTTGGGTTGTATATTGGGGCCGCTATCGATGTTATTGTTTAAGTAGGCAAAGTAATTTGAGCCTTTGTTTTTAACTTACGTATGTACCCGTCTTAAAATAGCTTAGTTATAATGTTAAATAGGAGTAACTAGGTCCATACGTATATTAAATGTATGTTTATGTAGGTACAAAGCTAGTGTGGTCTATAGAGTCTTAAAATTACAGAACTTACAAAATATCTATTAAAAAAAAAGTAATAAAACTATTAAAAACCGTGAGTGTGTAATATAGAAAGAGTGATGAAAGTAGTTTTAATAGTAAGTAATTGTCAGTAAATAGATGAGTAGTATTATACATACATATTTTAATAATACACTTTTTAATGGTTTAATACGCAAAGGTAAAAGACTATAAAAGTTAATATAAATTAAAGTATGTTTATATATTTCGGGTTTAAAACCGTTAAGTTATTTTATTTAAACATATAATATCTCCCATTTATTTCTACCACACCGAAAAGCAAATGCAGCTGCAGTCTGCGTTCGTAATATTTTTACTCAACAAATAAATCGCGTTTGAATCAATTCGAGATTTTTATTAACGTGATTCGTTCGATAAGATGTGAATGCGTATGGGGCGGCCGTTGGCTGAGGAAGTCATAAAGAACAGAGATAGCTGTCATCTGTGACGAGCCCGCCCACACTATTTCTGCTACGAAGCTGCAGCCCTGCTGGCCTAGCATGCGCGACTCGACATTATTTTGTTTACCGCTTTATCGCTACTTATATCATGCTGGTAAGAAAAAAAGGAGAAAGTAAACGACTTTTTTATTATTCGCGCTCTAGCTTATGGTTTTCAAAACTACCGGCACATTTTACTCTAGCGTGATGTGCTGGCCTTGTATTTGGCTAGGACAAGGGCGCCCTCGTTTAGTTTAACAAGGGGCCTAGTTTTGAATCATCGCACAATCAGTAGAAATATATATTTTATACCCTAACCTAACAACGCAGTTCGAGACAGGGTTATAATTCCGCAGGTGTAATATTTTTTGACTGATTAAATATAAAAAGTAAATAAATCGTGAGTTTGACAATTAAAGTCATTCGAGTAGGCTTGTCTTTCTTTCCACAATTAAGAATTATTGATGATATGTCTATATAGCATTTTGATCTAACGTTTCACAATGGGTAAACTTTATCTACACTTCCAATCGATATGTATCGTTGCGCGCATGTTAGCCCCGCTGCCTAACCATTACGATATTTAGCAACGCAACAAAATATTAAACGTTTACCGCTTAGTATTTAAATCTCGAGACATGCGATGCTATTTATATAGATTATAATGTTTTTTTTAATTTATTAAGTGAATATAATCTATATTTATTTATAGAACTTACAAAGAATACTATGTACCAACTTGAAAGCAGGTACGTAGCGAAGCGTTTTTCTATTGTCGTCAAAGAAGAAACTCTGTATGTAGATT